ATATATATATATACACATATGGCCTCCGCCAGCGACTTCACTCTCCTAAATTTCCCACGCCTTGCGTTTCAGGATCTTTCCCTTCGTACGTATCTTTTTATCAATGATGAATTTCATTGAAGGAACAAAATAATATTTCGAGTAAGGAAGTAAATGTCATTTGTTAGAGAATTTCTTTGCACTTGTTTTAGTTTTTCAAATTATGTTTATAAGTGTAATAATAAATCGGTGGGTATTTAATTCTTAATTTTTGTTACAAAAAGCAGGTGATGGTGGGACTTATGCAGCATTCGAAGTAGAAAGGAGAAGATAAAAAGGAGGAGGGAATATTTCTTTTTACAACTCATAAAGAGGAGTACAATCCACGATTGACGAGTCATCAATTCGACAGGTCTGATCGCCTGGCCTTAAAGATCCCATACACATTGAAACATACGATGATGCATCGACTAGATTTCATAATATATGTTGTAATGTATGTAACTCGGCATCGGCGAATCGGTATCGGAAGCAATCGATGCAGAAATTAGTGTTCTGCATTAGTTGAAAAAGAAAATCCATTTCTGAAAAATCGTCATCGCTACGGCTCTCAGTAAATAATCGTCACGGCGATTTGTCGTTTGTTTTTGAAACCTCTACAATGTATATAGATCAGCAATGATAAATCAATCAGAGCTTGAATCGATACAAAAATAAGAATCTCGGCTCAGTTGATGAGTGAGATCTGACTAATTGTAAGTAAAATTCAACCAGGCAACTAGACAAAATGGAGACAGATAGAGAATTCGGAGGAGTTTATAAATATTTATAAATTGCACAAGTGTTGTGGAATAACAAAACAGAAGTATGTGCAAACAGAAATATGCATAAGGCTGTATATAACGAATTCGTCGAAAAGTGTAAAGAAAAATATTTGATTGCCAACAAAGGATTCGTTACAAAAAAAAAATTTGGTCACAAAAACACTTCAAAATTATAATGCAACAGAAAAAAAATCAGATTTGATATTATAAAAAAATAAAATTGCACTTGATTTGAGATGTCCAAACGAACATTAATTATTGCGGAGGAAATAATTATGGAAAACTTGAAAAATTAAATGAAAATTCAACAGAAGTATTAAACAATAGTCGTTAAAATATTCCCGCACAGTGTATCTCATATAATGCACCATCTCAATATAATTATCCAGTATAGCAATATTCATTAAACTTAAATATAGAGACATCCACATAATTCTTTTTCATTGTTTAATTATATGTTTGTAATGTTTTGTTTGTATAAAAATGTTTAAAATAGAAATTTAATTTTACCTTTAAATATTCTTTTTTTAATTCTTCATAAATAACAACATACACTTCAGGAATCATTTTCATACGCAGTGATTGAGTCTTCATAACTTCTGTTGCTAAAAACCTTAATGCACATAGTTTCTCCTCTGCACTAATTATATCTCTCATGACTGTATTTCGTTTTTCAACCGTCGTGAGGTTAGTTTTACCCTATTGATGACTAGTCGTGATAATAATTCTACTCAGTACGAGAAGAATCGCAGGTTCGGATATTTGTTTCACGCACTCAATCGAGTGGCCGCTGGTGCGAAGTTCCCATCTTTGGGATTATGCCTAAACACCTCTAGCCATAATCTTCTTAGTCAAAGGAAGCAACGAGTCTCCTAGAAGTCTCGTGTGGATCGAAAAAACAATATGAGACTACTAAGGTAGTCGACCCTCATAATTGGTCATCGCATGGGCCCCAGTTTGCCGCCTCCCGATTCATCGTCGGGATCTTGCTGCACGATGACTATAACGCTCTAACGATCGATCATGAGTACTGAAATTTCAACGTCGAGATTTAAAATCGTCTGTAGACAACTTAGGTCCTTGGGCGAATTTTATTCAACAGATAATAAAAAATCGTCATCCACTTAATAGCATCACACTTGAATGATACTTGAATGAAGACAATATCAACGCGTTTACATAGTACAAGATGGCTGTACACTGAAAGATTGAATGATATTATATTATCTCTAGCTAGGTGTTGAAATCGAGTGGCGTATTGCAGGTGCTGCTGAGTACCTTGGAGTAGTAAAGCTCGGACCATTTGGATCTTGTATGGAAACATCTTTAAATCCAGTTTTAGAATCTTCTGAAGCGATGTTCTGGCGATTCCTAGTTGAGCAGAGCGATGACGGGTAGAGGCAGATGGATCCTCAAGGACACTTTGCCATATAACTTCCACCGCTATATCAGTGCACACAGTGTGCTTAGGATCTCTTCCCGGAAAATTGATTCAATTCTTTCAAAACGGATGGTTAGATTCTCAATCATGTTATCGCTAGGAGATATTCTGACATTAAAATGTTGCCGGTATTTTCTCTAAGTAATTGATCTTTCACTGGAATAGAAAAATTCAATGAGTTTACTCGTTGCTAGACATCATACGTAGCCATTTTAATCTCCAAGGGATGCTCTATAACCTACAAAAAAAAAAAAGAAAATAAAAAAGATTAAAAACGAACAAGTTATGACTTTTTCAAACCTTTCATTTTTTCAGTGGCCACCATGTAGTTCTTTGGCTAACAGATTAAACATCCAATGTTTTTTCATATCTCATGTTTTAGGGATCACCTGATTTTTACTATTTTTTAAATTACATCCTGCTGTATCGATTTAGATATCTACTGTATAGATATATTTCATCTGTGCTATTGACGATAAGAATTAAAATAAAAAAATATAGACAGCGTTATCTTTTCCGCATCAAAAATTATTCGTTTACTGAAGACACTTCATTGCAGGCATACAAAATTTTTACAAAATCTTTAATAGATCTTTTAATAGATATTCGCCTATGAATCTCTATGTTATTTCTTCCCTGATAATTACTCTGTCGTTAAAACTAATATCATATTTATTGCATCTAAAATTTCATCTAAAATATAATCTAATTCATCTTTTAATGTTCCAGATATTTTGTTACAAAAAAACCAGTGGTTGTTTCTAATTTAAAAATAATCCACATAACATGAAAGCAAGTACGTACTTGTGAACATACTGTGTGAGAGCGGGACGAGGTGTGTGATACTAGTTTTGTTATTTGTATATCAAGGGACGGTTCCCTTTGGTGTTAATATTTAATCGAGAGATGTTTCGTCCACTAATGCAGTGCCTCGGATGTGCCGCGATTTTCTCTAGAATAATTTAATTTTTAACAACCACATTAGTTAGAAATTTCTCTGAGTCAAATATAAGACCTCTAACTTTTCGCAACGAGGTTTGTGAGTTGTTGTTAAAACAAAATATGACCAAACTACAACTACTATGACCAACTTTCTGAAGATAATCACTGGATGGCTAAACTTGCGTATATGGCTGATATTTTTGAGGCACCTGAATGAACTGAATAAAAAAAATGCAAGGTCGAAGCGACAATTTTCTGACGTGTTCCGACGAAGGGTTAATTGGGTTTAAAAATAAGCTCGAAGTTTGGCAGAAAGAGTTACAAAAAGTATCTCTAGAAATGTTCCAAAGGACTTACAAGTCCATGATTAAAAACAAACAATTGATTCTGGATCTGACTCAACAACATTTAAGTTTGTTTCTCTTTGCACGAGAAGTTTAATCACTATTTTTTTACAATTAATACGAAGCAATACAATTGGATTAGAAATTCTTTTATAGCCGATGCCGAAAATTCAACAGAAGCACTTTCCCTTCAAATTCGAGAGGAATTTATAGAATTGAGGAACGATGTACAAAGTATAATTTGATATTGCTACTCATATTTTTTGCTGTTTTTGTGTAAATTCTCACAAAATTCTAAATAATAACATTATTATAAAAGTAAAAACAAAATCAGATACTTTAATAGCTTTCTTCAGGCTCGTATCATCTATATATTGCCTGAGGAAAGTTTATTTTGTAATCTATTTAATGATTTACATTTTATGATTTACATTATAAGTGAAGAATATTATATTTATTTTTCTCCGTTTTTCCAGTACTTTGTCTTTTTTAAATACTACATCTGTATTAAGAACATTATTTCCATTAATATCATTTACTATTTCGATTCAGTAATAAATCTTAGGTATTTTTCTCGAATAAACCGGAAATTATAGAAAACTATTTTCTGAAATGCACACTATACACATATTTTCCTTTTAATTCTATATCTTCATCTAATGGTTAAATTCTAACCGATAACTGTTGACAAGCATCTTCTTTTACAAAAATGATGAAAAGTAATAATATTTATTGAATTACGATTTATTAAACCGCAATTTAGTATACACATTTTTTTTTTTTTATAATGCAGCTTATGTTTCCGACTTTAAAACTTCGTTATTTCAAGCAAATAAAGCGTTAAAATTAAAGATAAACTAATAATCTAATGTTATAGTCATAAATTTTTATACCTGATCTTACTTCTATCTTCTGGACTCTGTTAGATTTTATCTGTTTAGATTTTATTTCTACACACTGACCAGAATCGATCATAGTGTCTGTGATACTGACTCTCAAATACTCGTCGGCAAATTATATCTATCTAAATAGAAGATCGCAGTTTTTAGTTGTGCATTTTACCGTTTTTCAGACTGAACTGATATGTAATGTGTAGTAAAGGGATCAGGTGAGTCTGAAAATATGAAAAATATGAGACATGAAAAATGGGGTGTCTATCCTTGTTAACCCTTTCGCTCAGAAATAAATTGCGCTATAGGCAGCCGGCGTGACGGTGGAAGATCGACCGCGCGGACAACACGATACGCGAGTCGTTCCTAACGCGGTGTGCGGAGCCGATTTTGCTGGTCATTTCCTTGAGGCGGCTGGCCGGCACACCGATCAAACAATAATATCAATAATAATAACAATTTTAGTAATCTTTTACAATCTTTAATAATCTTAGATAATCTTTGACAATTTTTAATAATTTTCCTTTGTATGATATAATTTAAAGCAGGGTTCAATACATAATCCAACGTTACAGTCTTTACATTCGAATCGAGTTTCGGTTCGCTTTTTGTGTTTGCTGCAAACCACATATTTCCGCCGACCGTTCTGCCACTTTCTTGTGGGATTGGTATATTGGATGGAAAATGTCTTGAAACCAGTCGTAAGAGATTATCTTTGGATGCAGTTTGGCCTCCAGACTTATTGCTACATATATTTTCATTTGGACATTTAAGTAGAATTTCTCGAATGAGACGTAAATGAAATTTCGCTAATGTTATATTCTTTTTGGACGTAATTTTGTAGAGTATGTAAGCATTGTAAATCGAAAGGTCCAGCATGTGGAAAAAGAATTTCTTATACCATTTCAGAGTTTTAGTTTTACGAACAGTATTAATGGAATTTAAAATCATATCGGTTTTATCGACTGCTCCCATAACGCGATTATAGTCTACTATGACACTTGGTTTTAGTATTGGTGTTTTAACATCATTTCTTTTTGTTTCTGTATACTCAGCAGAATGATAGCTTGATAACATTAGCACTTCTTTTTTGTCCATCCATTTTAGTGCTAACAGTTTATCCGTAGACTGAAATGCAATTTCGCCTTTGCATAATTTATTAGATATATTAGCCATTCCACGTTTGGTTTTCTTCACGGTTCCAAATGCATTTGTCTTATTATGATGTAGCAGCGAAAATAATGCCGGGCTTGAGTACCAGTTATCGGTGACCAAAACATGACATTTATTTAAATATGGTTCCATCAGCGTCTTGACAATATTTCCTGATTTGCCAATTTCTGCTAAATCATTATTGTTAATTATATCCGTGCGCGCTCCACAATAGACAATAAAATCTTGGATATATCCAGTATAACAGTCACGGATAACATACGACTTGATTCCAAATCTACTTTGTTTTGAAGGTATATACTGCTTGAAGAAACATCGTCCTTTGAAAAGCAAGCTTTCGTCGATACATAAATACTTATACGGGTAAAATGCTCGTGAAAAAGTATTTCGCAGTCTGTCGATGATGCTCCGAATTTTTATTAGCACATCTTGATTTGTTGTCGTGCTCGTGAAAATGCAGCATTTGTAATAGAGATTTATGTCATTTTGTCATTATTCACTATTCTTTTGTCATTATTCTTGGAAAAATTTCCGTTCGTAATAATTCGTCGGTTGACCAATATTCCTCTATTGACACTTTCTTTACTCTTGACATTAACATCGATAGAGCAAAAAATCGATACATTTCGGTCACTGTTGTATTTTTCCATACCTTCAATCGTGAATGCCTATTGCGTATAGTTTTCGTGGTATAATAATTATTGCTTTCTCTTACAATATGTTCAATCATATTTTCGGAAAAGAAAAGATTTATCGTCAATATTTGCTTTAATTCCTGATAGATTTTCATCAAAATCAAAAACTTTTGGAGCCAAATTTTGTGCGCTCCAAAGAAATTGCCGCGGATCGATGTCTGATAATTCCTCAATGTTTTCAGAATCAGATTCCGAGCTCCTTGACAGTAGGCGTCTCTTTTTGTATGTATTTTGATTTTTACTTTTGTATCTAATTTCTCCAAAAATTTCGGACAGGTCAGAATCCGATGACAGTTCCATACTATCGCAGCTCATATTCGTCATCCATTTGTCCATAATCGGGGCAAAATTTGTGGATAATTATATTTGATTATGTAAAAAAATCTCTGCATAAGAAGCGTGTGCTGCTGGCGTGTCGATATAGTTACTGATAACAAGTCAACGGCGTCAAAAGGCGCTGTTCGCTCAGAGAGAGCGTCTATAGCTGAGCGCCTGTAGGTACGATGATCGATAAATAAAGTCACCGTACTACAAAGAAAAATTTTATAATTTATTTTAACGTTTACATGATACAGAATTTAATGGATGAATTACAACTGACGACTGTTTATTAATTTCTTATTTACTATTATATATATTCTCGGCAATTTGTTTGTAACATGGTAACCAATAATTTATTGTATTTCCATGGTAACTTTCTGTAAGACTAAATAGATGTCGCTACAAGCGCCTAAAGGCGCTGTTCGCCGCGAAAGGGTTAATCAAGGATCTATCTTTAGCAATGGAATTTGACAATTAATAAGCCGCTTCTTCCCTTTTTTTTCTCCTAAGAACAGAATAAAACAGATATAGAGGGGCCTTCTCCACCATACTCACAAAGTATAAACCATAGTTGGCACTCGAACCGCTAGTTCGACAATTCTTATTTTATCGATCGACTATTATGTCTCACTTCCTTATAGTATATGTCCGATAGAATTGTTAGTGATAATATTACCAGAGTATAGAAAAAGGGAAGTAAATTAGAAGTGATTTTCTGATCTTGAAACACGATAGTGTATCCAAATCCGTAAGAATGACGATAGTGTATCCAAATCCTTAACAATACATATTTTTCAAAATTGAAGCTATTTCAATATAAGCTAAACTTGATAGTGGTAATTTTGGCAGTGGCGCCAACAATATAAATTGCAATAAATCAATAAATTACTTAATCTGAAATAATAATTATAGTATGTACATATTTTTTGACAACGTTGAATATAAGTATATAAATCCAAAAAAAATTTGCGCGCTCGTTGTCAATAAAACTAGCTATTATAATTTATACTTGTCGATGTCGGCTGTACTAACAATCGCGTTGTATTAATTTGAAGCCTGTAAAATTTTTATATTCGTACATGTTGAAAATTTTTCAAATGATTTGTGTCATTCTATCATCTTCAGTAACCTACGATAAATCGTCTCAAATTAATAAAAAATCTCTAATTGACAATTTGTGCCAATGTGTAAATACTATTACATGTGAAACAGTGTGATCATTATTTCAATTTTTATTCGAAAAATTATGATTAATCATATATCATTTGTTTAATCGTATTAATAAAAGCAATCATTCTGATAAATGATAAGATCATTGACTTATCAAACGTGTATCTAGATAAAATTTATTTAATATAAGATCTGATTAATTTTCTATTATAGGATTTTTTCTTATTACAACAGGAGCAGTGAAACGAAAATGCTTTAAAAAATGATTCAAAAAAGGGATTAGAACATTCAGAGAAATACTTCCAGTTCAAATACAACATAGTTGATATATAAGAATGTGAGTATAAATTTTTAAGAGATTGAAATGTTTAAGCAAATCAATAATTAATAATTATAACAAATAAAGGATGTGTAATCAAATTTACCAAATTGTAAATGTACTTGTTAATGATACATTCTATAATTTTTCAGATGATTTAAGGATCAAACTGCCCAGAGGATGTAATCAGTATTCTCCCTAACTTTCAAATGTCTTCTAATACATATAGCTTTAAGCATAATGATAGATACGCAGTAAATACCATGATCGATAAATCATAGAAGTTTGATCATATGTGTGAAGCAGCGTTCACAATAGTTTCGATTCCAGACTTGAATGTTCATCATAAAGATGTGTAAGGAATCAAAATTCATTTTCAAAAAACTATAAGAATATACATATTTCAAACTTACACAAATCACTCTATTTTTCATGTAATTAGGAATCAATGATAAAACGAGAAAATATTTTTGTTAAAAGGAAGAAAGACGCGATGAATTTGCAAATTGTAATACCTTCCTGTGGGTACATACCAGGACACATAATAAATACAATAGTGAATTACAAAAATCTACATGAAATTGTTACGAGTGAGTAATGTATTTGAAATAGCCGAAATACTAATTTCTCGCATACTAAGAGATTGATAATTAATTTTTTTTTTTTTT